TATACATTTAGTTTGGTGTTTCTTTTTGATTTCTTCGACTCTTCATTGCATCAGCCGTTTCATTCCACAGCTTTCACTGGTATTTGACAGGTTCATTTCTACATTTTTCAAATTCAAATTAATTATTCACTGTAAGCTCTTTACCAGCTGTTTTCTGGAATGCTTCAGTCCACCTGACCTTGTGAGGGTTGAGTTTCTTTGTACAGTTTTTATGACACTTGGATTTACAAAAACTGAACACCTTGCAATTTTTTCGGAAAATATCATGCTGTGGCAGGGGCATATGGGCCCCAAACAGAAAATAATACTTCTTGATATACATGTTGAACTCGCGTAGATACCCATCACTCAAATACCAAATTTGAAAGGAAGCCATACTTAATTGTTTTGTATTGTATGTATTTCATACTTTAATAAGATGGTTCCTAGCATCCTCTAAAACTGACCAATGACTTTTTGTTTTTTTAAATTTTCTAATATTGCTACAAACTCTTAGAAATACTTTATGTATAATTCCGTTATAGTTATCCTCATTGATGTTTACTAGTACATTGTCCCATGTTTGGCCCTATAGCAGCTTATTCCAGTTGATTCCTGAGTCCCTAGGGTCTACATGACCCTAGAGTAGTCCTTGGTTCTTCTACATTCTTTGTGATATACATGTTCCAAGTGCGTATTGTACATTTCTTGTCCTGGACCTGAAGCCACCTAGGAGTTTTGGTTCCTTGCTTTGGAGAGTGATATGAGACAATTTGAATAATAAGTGGTTAAGTGGTGCTTGCGTGGCTGCTAGAGACCTGCTGTTTTTAGGCCTTTTTTTTTTTTTTTTCTCTCCTCCCCTCCAGCTTTACTGAGGTATAATTAACCAATAAAATTGTAAGATATTTAAAGTCTATGTCATGATAATTTGATATAGACATATATTATGGAAGGATTTCTCCCATCTGGTTAATTAACACATCACCTCACATATTTATATTTTTTTGTGTGTGAAAACATTTAAGTTCCATTCAGCAAATTTCAGTGATATAGTATTATCAACTATAGTTATCATGTTTTATACATTTAGGCCTTTTCATTGGATAGAGCTAGTGTATTGATACATGATACAATATGATAAAATACAAATTGGTTTCAAACTAATACTTTCAGTTTAAATCCAGAACTACAGATTTTTTCCTTAACTTTGTCTGACATCAGAATTTCTTTTGAACCATGCCAGAAATCTCAGTTCTCAATGAGAAACATAATTAATGACTTCCTTTATGCCACATTACACAAACAACAGTCTCAGAATAATAATTTCAAAACTACCGTCAGCAGTAAAGTGACTGAAAACAGTTTCAGTTTTTTTTCTCTTTCATTATTTTTATCCTAAGGATAAATCCCATTAAGAGAATATAATCAGCCTTGGCCGGTGGTTCTCAGTGGATAGAGTGTCGGCCGGAAAACCGAAGGGTCTTGGGTTAGTTCTCAGTCAAGAGCATGTACCTGGGTTGCAGGCTGGATCCTGCACTCCAGCATGTGCAGGAGGCAACCAATCATTCTCTCTCCCTCTCGCTCTCTCGCCCTTGCTCTCTTTCTCCCCCTCCCTCCCACTCTCTAAAAATAAATGGAGCCCTGGCTGGTTTGGCTCAGTGGATAAAGCATCAGCCTGCAGACTGAAGGGTCCCCAGTTTGATTCCTGTCAGGGGCACATGCCAAGGTTGTGGGCTTGATCCCCATTAGGGGGTGTGCGGGAGGCAGCCGATCAGTGATTCTCTCTCATCATTAATGTTTCTATCTCTCCCTCTCCCTTCCTCTCGAAATTTTAAAAAAAATTATATATATTACACACACACACACACACACACACACACACACTAAAAATAAATGGAAAAAATATTCTCAGGTGCGGATTAACAGCAACAAAAAAGATATACAATTTCAATTTCAATTACTACAAATAAATACCCCTAAAAAAGAACATACAGTCAGCCTTGGCAGGTGTGGCTCAGGTGGTTGGGCATCGTCCAGTGCACCAAAAGGTTGCTGGTTGGATTCCAGGTCAGGGCACATGCCCAGCTCTGGTAGGGGGCATGCAGGAGGCAGTTGATCAATGTTATGCTCTCACATCAGTCTCTTCCCCTCTCTCTAAAAAACATATACAATCAAATGACTGTGCTTTAAAGTATCTTTTAGAATGTTTCCTTTCTGGTTAAGCCACTAGTTTGAATTACATGAGGCTCCTTGATTAATTTTACATTTAATTTTGGTGAATTTCTTTTTTAAAATTTAATTTTATTTCATCATTGTGTAAATTATTACATAGTTTCTAAAACAAATCTACAAATCAAAGTAATGTTTAAAGAATTTTATCCATGTTTCTTTCAACTAACCCACTCACCCATCCTATATAATAAAAGCATAGTATGCAAATTGTCCCCTCAACTGGGAGTTGTCTGGGAGTTTGATCAGGGGGTGGAGTTGGCGGGGAGGGGGCGGCGGGTGGAAAGGGAGGAAGGCCCTGGCTGCAGCAGCGGCAGGTGGCCAGGGGAAGGGAGGGAGTACCTGGGCAGCAGCAGGCAGCCACTAGGGCCTCTAGTATGTAATAAAAAGTGTTGCCTTGGCTAGTGTGTCTCAGTGGTTACAGTGCTGGCGTGTGCACTGAAGGTTCCATTCCTAGTCAAGGGCACATACCTTATTGTGGGTTTGCTTCCTACCCCCGTTCTGGGAGTGCAAAAGGCAACCAATTAGTGTGTCTCTCACATCAATGTCTCTCTCCCTTTCTCTCCTCTCTGCCTCCTTCTCACTGTTTTCTCCCTCCCCCCTCTTTTCTACTCTCTCTGAAAAGCAATGGAAAAAAATGTCCTTGGATGAGGATTAACAACAAAAAACAAACAAATGTTATGATTTACTCAAGCATATATTTTTCTGTCTTCCATTCTAGTGAAATAATAGCATTCTATAAACATATTTTTCCATCTCGTTTTTTTCACCTTAGCAGTATTCTTGGGATCATGGTGTAGTGGTAATAAAGATATTCCTTAACATTACTTATTATAGTAGTCACTAG